GCCACATCGGGAACAGCGGATACAATACACCACATTGACGGATGTGCAGGTGAACATCTGTCTGACGTGGAAGGCTTTTTGGCTCCTTGGATGGAGGCGAGGGGGGGAGGTATAGCACTTCCTGCGGTTGCAGGGAAAGGTGCTGGGGGTGGTGGGGCTAGTGGGGAGTGTGGAGCGGAAGTGAAAGTCACGGAGAGAGCAGTCCCTGCTGAAGGCAGATAGGGGTGGGGAGGGAAATATATCCTTTATTGTGGGGTCAGATTGCAGGTGGCGGAAGTGGTGGAGAATGATACGTTGGATACAGAGGTTAATGGGGTGATACGTGAGGACAAGGGGAATTCTGTCTTTGTTTTTGTTGGGGGGAGGGGATGTGAGGGCAGAGGTGCGGGAAACGCAAGAGATGCGCTCGAGAGCATTTTTGACCACCAAAGGGGGGAAGTTGCGGTCCTTGTAATAAGAGGACGTCTGGGATGTTCGGGAGTGGAACGCCCCATCTTGGGAGCAGTCGCAGACTGCCTGCACTCACCTATCACCATTCCACCTACCTTCCCCAGCCCCACCCCTCCTCTCTCTCTTTATTTCGGAGCTCCCTTCCCCCTCCCCCATTTTTGAAGAAGGGTCCCGACCCGAAACATCAACTTTCCTGCTCGTCTGATGCTATCTACCTGTCTAAATGTTTCTTAAATGACAAAAGTGTACCAGTCTCCACCACTTCCTCTAGCAGCCCGTTCCAGACACTCACCACTCTCTGTGTGAATAAATTGCCCTTCTGGACCCTCTAGTATCTCTCTCCTCTCACCTTAAACCTATGCCCTCTGGTTTTAGACTCCTCTACCATGGGGTAAACCTGTTGGCTATCTACCTTATCCATGCCTCTCATAATTTTATAGACCCCAAAGGTCACCCTTTAGTCTCGTACGCTCCAGGGAAAAAAGTCCTAGCCTATCCAGCCTCTCCTTATAACTCAAGCTTTCCAGTCCAGGTAGCATCCTGGTAAAACAGTTCTGTACTCTTCTTTCTACTTTAATAATATCCTTTCTATGGTAATGTGACCAGAACTGCATGTAGTACTCCAAATGTGGTCTTTCTCCAGCCTACAGACAGCGCCTTGCCCAACATGGAGTATCAGACTGACAACTTGGGGCAAACTATTTGAACAAACTCACTGCAGTCCCAACGGTTTACTCCTGCTCAGAACTCCAGACAAGCTAAAGAATTCCCCGAGCATCTGTGAGTGGGGTTGTAACAACCAGCCGCAAAATTAACAGACTCCAGATAAGACCAATAGCAGGTCCAACAATTCTCATGCCAACTGCAGCTGCAGGGATCACCGACTAACACAGTGCTACAGGTGACCTCCAGCACCTGAGGCAAACACCGACATCCAACAGGTATTCACTTCGCTTTCTGATCCATCATCAAAAGGATGCCACGCGCTGCAGACTTTCAAGGTGGTGGGACTCAAAGATGAAACATGTGGGACACAGCCTAGGATGGAGTTTGGATGAACAAAACGTAGGAGATATGAAGATATAATGTATTAACAATTCACTTCAGATAAGGCAGACCCATGGCGTTGTGACAAAATCCTCTGATTTCACAGGTCAATGGAAGGTTGAAAGCAATGGACCAAAGGCTTTTTCATTTTAATGGGACTTTGTATAGATACAGATCACTGGTGTGGTAAAGGTGTGTCATTGGAGGTCCATCAGTTTAAACTTTTTTATTGGGTGTCTTCTTTTACCTGCCTGCCCCATGTCAGGAACCCTTTGCTGGTTCTGATTAGTTTTCACATGGAAACCAATTAAGTATCTTGGCAGGAATTGCAATAATCGCCCACTCAATGTGACTTCACACTCAGAATTGGGAGATTTAACTGTTATCTCTCGGTGTTGGGGCACCTTGGGAGGTACTAGAAGTTAAAAGATGTTATTTTATTGGAGGTTGTTACATGCAAACATTCAAATTAGGAGCAGGAGAAGGCCAATCAGCCCCTTGAATCTACTTGCCCATTCTATAAGATCATGGCTCATTGGATTACTCCGCATTCCCATCTACCCTACTTCTACTGCCTTTTGAGAAAGAGAATTACAATCCTCACAACCTTCAAAGAAATAATTCTCCCCTTCTCTGTCTCTTTTTGAAAAATGCTGACGATTAGTTCTAGATTCTCCCAAAATAGGACCAGAATAAAGGGGACCTTTCACATCCACCCTGTCAAGACCACCTAAGATCTTATATGTTTCAGTCACATCTTATTCTTCTAAATTCCAGTGGAAATACAAACCTCACCTGTTCAACCTTTACTCATAAGATAACCAGGCCATCCCAGGTATTAGTTTCATAAGCATTCTCGGAACTGCTCCACATGCAGTTCTTGTTTGAAAAGAATTTACGGTCACAAATTTTCAAATAGTGGTCACTTTAACAATGACTGACTCATCCTTGAGATAGTTGCTAGCTTTGGTTGAAATCCCTTGAAATATCGTGTTTCTGCATTGGTGACAGCAATTGTGTGTGTGTTTGTGTGTGTCTCCATGTCCCACGAAAAGCCGACGTAAACTGCCAAACCAATAAGTTGTAACTTAATTCTGACAACTAGCAAGTTGTCCCTCCATTTAAAAGAGCCAAACAATCTAACAGCCATGACTGATGGTGGGGCAGATGCGATGGGCTGAATGGCCTAATTATGCCCCTATATCTTACGGTTGAACAATGTGTGCTGCTCTTATATGAAAAGCTGTTACCTCCTGTATGACTCGTGTACAATATATGTGACTTCTAATCTGCAGGAATTTGCAGAGTTCAGATTTTACCTTTTAATTTTTCACCCTCATCTGTGATGTTGCAAACAGAACCTGAAAAGAGCCAAACCAGCCATGGAACCTGCACTTAATCCATCTTTAACCACTGCAAGCCCGAGGTCCAATCTGTGCTGAGTTAGCATATCTCAACTCCAGCAGCGGCAAAGCACTCCAACTCGTCCCTCAGGACAAGAGAGTGGAAAAGTGAGATCATCAAAGGATTGCTGTTTGTGGTTCATGCCCGGTAATACCTCTGGGAGGGCAGAATTAGGGTCAGCCAGTTCTGACGTACAAGCCCTCATGAGAATATGAGGCAGCTGAACAAGAAGAGCACAGAGAATCGCTAACAATACGAATAGCATTTTAAAGAATGGAACACGGACAGACAGAACTGGAATATTACTTGGGAGACAAGCAGGATGGAGAAGTGGGATTACAACTGACAGGTTGAAGAGTGGACCAGAAGTGTTTTGGTTCAACATGATGCATCAAATTTAGGAGGCAATGGTGCAGTGTTAATGCCAGTAGATTAGCAATCCAGAACCCCAGGCTGATGTTCTTGGGATGTGGATTCAAAACCCAACACAGCAGATGCTGCAATTGGAATTCAATAAAATTAAGAACAAAGAGCTGGCCTGATTGTGGCCATTTCCACAAAAACCTATCTTCCCCTTTAGGGAAAAAAAAACTGCTGTCCTTGCCCAGTGATGCCCACATCCTATGAATAAAATGTTAAAAGAACAGGGTTTCCTCCGGGTGCTCCGGTTTCCTCCCACAGTCCAAAGATGTGCAGGTTAGGTGGATTGGCCATGCTAAATTGCCCATAGTGCTCAGGGAGGTGTAGATTAGGTGGGTTAAAGGGGGATGGGTCTGGGTGGGATGCTCTGAGGTTCAGTGTGGACTTGTTGGGCCGAAGGGCCTGTTTCCACACTGTAGGGATTCTATGATTCTATGAAAACCTGTCAGGATGAAAAGTGATAAATTTGGAAAAGTAGTAAAAAAAACGCTACATCACAGAGAGGTTTTTCAGCTTTTCGAAACCGCATCAAAAAATTGCAAGTTGATTTGATTTCAGAATCACAGATTTGTTACAGTGTGGAAAGGTGCCATTCGGCTCATGCTGCCTGCGCCGGTTCTATCCCTCAGTGCCAATCTCCTGTCTTTTCCCCATATCCCTTTTAGGTCAAACTGGACAGGTATCTTGAAGAGAAGCTCATCAACAAGTGAATGAAACTTGTGAATGTCCCAATACGGGGGTTCACAAAATAAAGAGAAAGCACTAGGATATGATTGGAGGGAAAAATACACCCTAAACTTTTCAGTGCGTGACTGCTACTAACTTTTCTTGCAGACTGCTCCACAGTGAAACTGTATTCACTAAGACTTAATTTATTAGGTTAGGTGCTGGCTCTCTGTACATCTTCAAAAGAGCGCTGGACTCATTCCAGATTGGGGCAGTAACTGCATCAGATAACAAGGTTCACTGTCTTTATAAATAACATGCATGTGATCTGCTGGACCAGTTTCAATCACTAGTGCTGGGCTGGGAGAGGAATGACCCACAGTATTGACTCCTTCTTTTGTTCCTGAATATTTTCCTGATCTCTGAAAGCTGCATTGGTGGGGACTGCAATGAGGGAGAAGAGTGTTTGGGGAAGGAGGCGGAGAGGCAAGAGCTGGAGTGGGAATAGAAAAGAATCTTCAATCATGATGCTCCTGCCATCACAATGTGGCTCAGCCTGGTGGTGAAAGTATTTTCACCCAGCCCCACACTCTGTTCATTAATTTACTCATTAACACAAAGATGGAAATCAACGACGTTTATGTTAACTGTGTCTTTTCTCTTATTATTCGAGCAACATACTAATTTTTAAACAGCGGGCAGGACAACTGAAACTCCCCCTCAGAACTGTAGATTTGAGGACCCATCTGTAGGGTCATAAACAGTTGGTTCTGCCATAAACTGTGTTTCTTCAACACAAATTGGCTTTAATGCAATTGAAAAATTTAGACCGCTATTTGTAGAATGCAAACTTTCCTTACTTTTATTGGCTATAACACGATTCTGGCCCTATTAATTTAAATGGAATGACTGTTGCTTGATTTTCTTATAATGCGAGATCACACAAGAACAGAACTTTTGCATTACATCAGAACCAACTGTACTAATTAAAAAAAGTGTGCTATGGGCCTTACCTCAGGTGTTAAAGAATTGTTGTCTGAAGTCTGGCTCGAGAGTAATATATGTGTAAAACCATCTTGCTTCCTAACAACAATGTCCCTGAATCGATAGTTGCTTTCATTTTGTCGTACACTGCATCTGAGCCGTTTGTCAAATACATAATCTTCTTTGTCTTCCGCAAGCTTTCTTTTCACAGAACATGGCAAGTTAGCTTGTCCGTTGGAAATCCCTATTGAAATAGAATGTGGTGAAGTGTCAGCCTGCAATTGAACAATTCTATTTAGTCAATGAACATTACTGTTAACAAACCCCAAGCAATTTATTTTTAGAATTATCACAAAGACAGAGGCATGTTTAACTGAACCATTTGCAAGTTCAAATCATGCTGCTTGCAATAATTAAAAATGTTAATGCAATCTCCAAATATGAGTACATCAATGAACAATGTAGGATAAACACCAGTGTAGCCCTGGGGGAGAGGGAGAGGGAGAGGGGGAGGGGGAGGGGGAGGAGAGAAGCTGAATGACTTGCTGTCAGTGCAACACCAACACTTATTATTACATACCTACACCGTTTACCAAAGGAGAATCAGCAACTGATCCATCCTCTGCAAAGTCCTGCTCTCCTAGATCCACATTCACTTCCTGTTGCCTTGAGGTATTGTCAAACTGTAATGCATTTCTGCCGTGTCGAGCATCCCCATTCTGAAATGAGTTATCAGTCTTTCTGTAAGGCATAATCTGTACTCCGCTCGCAGTTGTTCTGTAATGCACTGTTTTAGTAGCAATGATTTTCTTGGGCTCTCCAGATGTGTGCTTTCCATCTCTCCCTATTGTACCCCGTTTTTGCTTTTGATGTGCATTATTAGTCCGCTTTCTGCGTAATCCTCCCCCCTTCCCCTTTGCGGATTCATAGGCTCTCAGCGGCGAAGTTCCATGATTGTCCCGTAAGACCTGCCTTGGGCTATTTCCCCGTTTCCCTGATTTAGTTCGCTTTTCTTTGGAAGCATTGAGTCCATTGAACTCGTCAATAAATTCTTCACAATGAAGGAGGTGATGTTCTGGTTCCCAAGTGTCTTCATTACTTCCATAACCTTTCCATCGTATAAGGTACTCCCATTTCCCTTTTTTATTTTTCCTTTTATCGACAATCTTCTCTACCTATTGGGAAAGAAAAGGTGCTGTATAGGTTATTGCAATCATTTCACATCAACACTAAAGAGCTTTGTGCAACCTTCATTGCGTAACCATGCATACTGCTTATCTAAGCAGCAAGCAATCGCCTTTATCAACAAGAGACAGTAATTCACACACAGACTAAAGGACAAGATCTTTCCTTTCCTCATTTCCATAGAGAAGAAGGGGCCTCACTAAAAATGCTCACAAGTAAACACGTGTTCTTAACTGCAGCATGCACATATATGCATATGCATTTGCATGCACACTAAGGAAGAAATAGCACATTTTAACAACCAACTTTAAGCCTAGATTTTCATTACAGGGAAGATTCTCTCCATCTTGCTGAAAATAACAGAAGATGTCCAAAATCTGAAGCGTTGAACCAAACCGAGCACTTCTCATTTTCACCAGGATGGGCTGTAGTTCAGGCATGTGTGGTTTACGGAGGGAACCAGCCATATGGATGGCCACCTGCTTCCATTCAAATAGGACTTAAGAATCACAGCTTTCCGAAACCTGGAGATTAGAGCAGGATGGCTCTCAGTGCATTCAGTTTGGATAGTTAGGGTACTGCCTTGGGAAAAGTGAGCAATCCTAAGAGTATGGTCTGGGGACACCTCAAAGACAGGGGCTAGGACTTGTTTGGGAGGGTGCGGGTTAGGTATTCTTTGTGGTGGTGGAGGATAACCCAAGTAGACTTTGGGATTGTTAACTGTGCAGCTGATTGTGAGGAAAAGGAGTGCAAACAATTTGGAATTGCCCTTACTGTCAAGAAGTGTTAAGAGGTGTTCAGAATTATCAATACGTTCCAAGACATTTGAAGCAGTGTTAGGGTAGTTAAGACTTGTCAAGCATTTTTTTTAATGATGTAATAGTGTTTTGCACAATTTGTGTCATTTGCAATAAGGAAACTAAATAATGGAAGTTTTTTTTTCCCCCTGTGTGGGTGGGTATTGGTGAATACTGGCTGAGTTGTTAACGATAGGTGATGGGAGAAAGGATGGTAGATGGAAGCAGGTACTAAGTTGGCACAGGGGGTATGAGTGGCCAGGGAGGTGGGTAGAGGAGCATATGGTGTGAGGTGAGCATGAAGCATGGACTGTGTGTGAATGGGGGAATAAGATGAACGAAGCAAGTATGAAGGGTAAGGGCTGGAATTGGCCTGAATCCCACTCCAGATAGTTCCCCCAAACTGAAAATGGGTTGTCATTTCTAAAGGTCAGAAAGCCAGGAATTTTCCTGCCTCCACACATCACATTCAGGAATGACGAATGGGACAAGAATTTTTAACTCCAATTGTACTAAAACATTTCAAGTTCTATCATTTGCTTTGGGATCCCAGATCCATGCTATCCATTGCCTTTCCTGTAATACCAGTAACGTTTTTTTGCCGGTGGTGAGGATTATTTAATCACTCTCCATCTAACCCTCCCTCTTTCGTTTTAATAGGTCAGCACAACATCGTGGGCCGAAGGGCCTGTACTGTGCCGTACTGTTCTATGTTCTTAATAGACTCTGACTTCCTGAAGAAATGTCATAGCACTATGGCCTTCCTTTTGATGGCGGTCTAAGTCCAAATATGAACTTCAGCTCCATAAACTCAGACAAAAGCCTTCATGTCCCATTCGCCCTCTACCTCTACCTCCTCCCCACGGCCCTCCGCAACATCTTACACCACCTGCTGTGAACCACAGTTTCGTCAGTAACCTCTGTCCTTCCTGCTTCAGGAGTAACGTCCTCACTGAGAATATGGTCAGAACAGTAGGAGGAGTTGAAGCAAACAGTTGAGAAGAGAGATAACCACATTTGGAGAAAGAGACAGGAAAATATGTTATTGAGATGAGATAAACGGGGGCGGGGGGGGGGGGGGGGGGGGGAAGGTCATGAGCAGGGTAAACACTTGTTTAAAGGAAAGAGAGGGGAAAGGAGGTTTGCATTTCTGTAGCGCCTTTCAGGACCTCAGGGATGTCCCAAAATGCTGAAGATGCTCCGTCAACAGAAGGCAAATCAGTAAAAGGGCTCTTTCGCAGTTGAGACAACGGTACACCATGCAGGTTTTTGTCACTGTAGAAGGATGTGCACCACCCTCAATCGAACTCAATGATCCACCCAAACACAACCAGACAAGTCTAAATACTGGAAAAATGTTACATTCCTCAATGCTATTGTTCATCACCTCAGGTGAGCATGAATATAAACAAAAGAAAATGAAGCAGCAAATCTAAACCCTTATTTGCACCCATGTGTCTACGTGCATTCCAGTTTGTTCAGTGGACATTCCATCAAAGAATTCAAAAGGCAGCCAAATTATTTCATCTCTGCCTTCAGGGGATCAATGTTGTGATGGCTTTTCCGTTCAATTCCTGACTCAATTTGGTCGGTACAGTTGCTGGTGGGGGCAAGAGTGGCTGCAGGTATGATTGGAAAACTGTGTTTCCAGAGGGTGACACAGAATGCCACCACCTTCAGTACACAAAGTGGTTTTCAGTGGAAGGGCTTGGGGGGTGGGGGGGGGAGGTGGGGAAGTAATGGCAAATCCATTCCCTTCCAAATGACACTCCATAACGCCTCTTGAGAAGTTTGCTAAAGGGCTGAGCAGAGCTGGATGGCAATTTTTGAAACATCTGAACCTAAACAGTCTATCACGTATTGCTATAGCTGTGGGGTTCAAAGCAGAAAGATGTTAAAGATTTTTTAAAATCATGCTGCAACACTGTGGGACCTGGGAGATCCTGTATCAGGTTGTGTCCTTGGACTTTCATTTGCCTATTTGGCCACTTCTACGTGCATGGAGGCTGCTATCCGCTTTGGTTCTGCCTCCTCTCTCCTGCGAGATAACAACAGACTGTATCATGGCTATTGTGCATACTTGCCACTCAAACACTGTGATTAGCTTCCGGGTTCTGGTAAAACTCAGTGCCCCACTATCTTCTTGGAAGGTCGTGCCACTTCTAGATGGCCCTTGACGCTTCTTGACAGCGCTTGTCAATTTGGACAATTCCAAAGGATTTGAGCCACTTATGCACAATCTTCTTCAGTTAACAAACTCAAAGGGCACCAGACTGCCCATTCCTCTCCCACTCTCCAGAAAAAGATCCCGCACCAACATCCTCCAAAGGATATCTGATTAGCCAGCCTCCTGCAAGGAACCTCAATCCCCACCCCAAGGTCATTTACAGTTGAAAATCACACATTATGAGTGAGAAACGTGATCTAACCTCCAAGTCTTGCATTAAAAGATAAAACTGTGCATTTGCAACAAGGGAGATTCAATATTGGTTTTCAAGCAGAAATTAGATGAACACCTTGTGGAGAAAAGAAATTGCAGCACAACAAGGGCAGTGGAGTGGGACTAGCTGGGTTGTCCTTGCAGAGGTGCTGCACAGATGTAACAAGCCAATGATTTCTCTGTCATCCATGCTGTAACAAATTTATGGTTGAGGTATGAAATATGAATTAAATAAAGACCTTGCATAGTTTATGTGAGAATAACAAAGGCCACTGATTTACAGTTTTCAGATAAAAATAGTCAATTGCAGAATGCAATTCCTAAAATACTGTCCATGTAATATAAAGTTATCACTTATTCAGTCAGTGGTCTTGACAATACAGTGAGTGATCTGCTTTGTGTAAGGAGACTGTAATATTCTATAAGAGCTTCCTCAAGACAGAAACCCTAATCTTCTCTTTCCCCTTGCAGGAACCAAAAGATCTTACAGCCCAGGGAGAAGGCCATTTGCCCCATCATGTCTGTGCCAACTCACTAGAGGAATTATCCAAGAAGCCACACTCCCTTCTTTTCCACAGCCTTGCATTTTTCAGTATAGTATTTTGCATGTTTCAAGCAGAGATATATGATTCTGTTACTTTTCATTCTCCTCACAAATGCATATGGAACAACAATAACATTTAATTAAAATTATCTATTTACTGCTGCGGTTATTTCAAAAGTTGGTAGAATAAAACAAACATGTGTCAAATAGAAATCCAAACTCACCCCGAAACTGATTCAACACAAGGGCAATTCATAAATTGTTACTGAATTTTAAAGGGTGTATTTCATCATGAACACTATTTCCTCCTTAGCCCGAGTAGATCATTTGGTTCAATGGGAATTATATGGCCCCCACAAGTGTTAAACTGCATTTAAGTTGTTTTGACTCATCATTTAATCTGTTGAATCCTAAGAATGGAAGATAGATAGCATGCACCATAAGCTCTCTGAGTCCAAAGGCATGTGCACCATGTCCTAAAGTCATAAAACAATTCTAAATGCTAAGCAGCCAACTCAAGGTAAAAAAGTGTTACATTTACATAGTGGCTTTCGCAATCTCAAAAACTGTTCACAGTCAACAGCCAATTTATGCACAGTAAGCCCTCAAAGTACAGAGATAAATTAACTCATCCGTTTTTGGTTTTGGGATAAATGTTGATCAGAAAGCATGTTCCCTCACAACTTGAAACCGACTTCCACTTTCTCCATTGCAAACATTCCTACAATTTTATTGTGTGCATAGCATTATCCTGTTAGGAGTCAAGAAAGGCATTGATGCCTATTATGTATTCTTATACTACCATGAAACAAATGTCAACTTGCTTTATATACTTTGATACATTCCTTTTAAGAAACACTATTGTTTTTGCTACACCATTGCTTCTGCAAAGATAATCTAGGCCTTAAAAACACGGAGTTAAAAACAATTCTCCGAATTACTCTCTTCCTTCTCCTGACGCAAGCTTGATAAGATTTGCCGCCTAGTTGTTGAGTAACTAACATGTGTAAGAAAAATGTATTTATGATTAGCATTAGACAAGTCACAGCAGACGTCAGGATGGACATGCAAGTTACAGTTTCATGAAATAAGTTTCCTGTATGGGATGAGGTGGAACATGACAGAAAGGTATGATTAGAACTGAAATTCATTCCAGTTAATATTTGCTCTCATCACAGACAGATTCTAAACAAGGCCTCACACCTAAAA